GGGGCAGGAGAGCCCGGCAGGCTGAGGGTCTGCAGTGTGCCAGGCCTGGGCTTGGCATGAAGGCACCAGATGTCAGAGGTGTGGCTGCCACCCAGGAGGACACCCCTGATGGGGCTCCGGGAACAGGACAATGGTGGAGATGTCACATCCAGAATAACTGTTAGGAGGGTGAACTTGACAGGAGTTTTACATCGCAGGAATCAAAAAGGCACCTAAAATTACCTTAAGTAATAGAGGCGCAGGAAACCACCAACTCTAGGAAGACAGACAGGGTGGCCTGAAAGTGGGTTTGACCTGGTGTTTTACTGCTATTCCATGCATGGTGTCAGCTTTCTCACGAGACTGGCACCGTATAGGACTTAGGTGTTTGCCAGCCCAGTTGACGCTGTCTGCTTCATTGCTCACCACCAGCAGAAAGGTGAGGGCTATGCCCCGCAGTCCAGGGACAGAGAAGGTTTACATGGGGACTCAGTCACACTCTCTAGGAACTAGATGTACATTTCAGAGCAGGAGCCAGGTTATACTAAAGGACGCCTGGCCCGAGGATATCAGCACCCCATAGAGATGGAGAACCCTAGGGAGCTCAGGGACTGGGGCTGAGTGACAGCGAGCACTGCCCACAGAGGGGGCGCCCTTGAGTCAGGAGGGGTGGGAAACAGGTGCAGATCGGCAGCTGAAAGAGGCCCACCCAGGTGAGCACAGGTGAAACTGATGGTGGACAGAGAGGAAGAGTGTGCTGGTTGGTAGGGGAAGGCGGGGCCTGTAGCCAGTTTGGGAGTTCCCAAGTTGAGCAAAGGGTGTGCCAAGTCCTCTGGCTGGGCATGTTAACAAAAGCACCTAACTCTTAAATTATCTGTAAGAGGTATCTTCTGAGCCAATTAATGGCCATGGCCTCAGGAAGTCTCAAGGGGTCTTGAAAAAGTTTGCCCGGGACAGTCGTTTTACACATTTGAGGGGACAGGAATTGGAGTAACATCATAAATCAACCCATGGAAAGTACACATTGATTCAACCTAACAAGGTTGGTTATCTTCAAGTAGGGTGGGGGAAGGTCATTATAGGTCACAAGTGGATACGAAGATTTTCTGATTGGCAGTTGGTTGAAAGAGTTCAGCTTTGTCTAAAGACATAAAGTCAGTACAAATGAATGCTTCAGTTGAGAGAGAGAGGGTTTGCCTCTGTCCTGTGATGCTGTCCCAGAGTCAGAGAGGTAAGTCAGCCACAGTATCCTGAGTCAATTTAAAACCCATTGAAGGAGACTCTGGTTTCTAGGTTGTGTGTTAATTCTGGCCTTGCATGGTCTCAGGTGTTGTTCATAATCTGTACCTGATGTTCACAGAGTCTGTTCTGAATAATCTAATGATACCTATTTTAACATTCATGCTGGTCGGTTTTGGGCCATATACTCCAAAGTACAGGCTCTCAGGAGGCTTCTCTGACCTCCCCTTCCATCATGGCCAGGAATTCATTTTTTCAGGTTTCCCTGGGATCCCCTTGACTAAGAGGAGGTCTGTTCCATTGGCTGGGGTCTCAGGATTGCAGGACTTTAGAAAGCCTCACATCATGGTGCAGGGTGCATGACCAGATTTTCCTGAACCCTGAACTCCATGGCTCATGGGATAAGGGAGCCGTGGGCCACCTGGATTCTGCTGAGATTCTTTCCCCAGGTGCAGGTGCGGGTTTGGCCTTGGCCCTTTCTGTTCCTTTCAGAAGCCCACAGAGGTGAGGACAGGATGCTTTGGGGTCAGGGACAGAGGCTCCTGTCACTGAGATTTTGTTGTATTCCTGGGAAGAGACTATTGTTGCAGTTCATCTGCCTCTCTGCAGTGCTGATGTGTAGCCCCAGCAATTCCAGTCCACTCTTGACAGCCAGCCTTGAACACAGAACTGATCAGCCACATGGAAAACCTGAAACAAAGCCTCTAAAATGCAGCCTCTCAAAAATGCTCACCAGGGCTGGGTGCGGTTGCTCATGCCTGTAATCCCAGTGGGTGGATCTCCTGAGGTCAGGAATTCAAGGCCAGCTTGGCCGACATAGTGAAACCCCGTCTCTACTAAAAATATAAAAATTTGTGAGGTGTGGTGGCATACACCTGTAGTCCCAGCCTCTCAGGAGGCTGAGGCAGGATAATTGTCTAAACCCAGGAGGCAGAGGTTGCAGTTAGCCAAGTTAGCACCACTGCACTCCAGCCTGGGAAACAGAGTGATACTCTGTCTCAAAAACAAAAAAAAAAATGCGCACCAGAGTTTTCTTAATCAGACTTGGCATAGCCAGTGAGCTTCTGCCGCCTGCCGTGACATGGGTGCTGTTTTTCCCACTAAGCCCAGACCTCTGCCTCGGGAGACAGGGCTCAGCTGCAGCCCCCTCAGCTAACTGTGAAGGGCTGTGTGGGTACCTCAGGGGCTCCTTAAACCCGCAGTGGTGTGCAAATTTGTGGGCTCACTTTCTGCATCAGATCTCCAAAGGTGTCTGCGATCCCAAAAGGTTGGAAACTATTAAATTTGATCATTTCTGAAATGTCTTCCAGTTCAAAAGTTCTCAGTTCCAGTTCATTTTCAATTCCTAAATAAAGGGATGGGTCCTGGAGCCTCCTGGGAAGCCGGCCTGCAACTGAGCACTTGCTGCAGATAGTGCCGGAAGTGCAAACCCAAAGAAGCGTGTGTCTGGCCTGCATGTGGAAGCTTTCATAGTCAGGTCTTGCTTTGCAACAGTGGGGGGTGACCAGGGAAGCCTATGTGAGGGGCAGTGGGAGAGCAGCAGCCTAGCTCCGGGAACTGCCTTAACCACACCTCACCTCACTTCCTCAGGGCTAAGGGTTTCTTGAAGGGAACATGCAAATTTATGCAAAAAACTAAGCAAGCAAGCTCTTTTTTTTTTTTTTTTTTTTTTTTTTTTTTAGTATAAGGAAAAAACAAATTTTCACTCCAAGGACTCTGTGTTGGGCTTGGAAGAACTGGTGGCACAACTGAGGAGTCCTGGAACACTGCTCTCAGAAAGTGTTAGGACAATTAAAAAAAAATAAAAAAAGACAATGAAGAGGCTTAATTCTCCCTGTTAAAAACAAGGGAAGCGGGTCCTCTCTCCCTGTTCTTAGACCGTTTTCTTTGGAAAACTTGTCATTGTAAATCCTTCTTCTGCTCCTTTGAGGGGCATGCAAAGCTTTTTGACAGTGAAATAAGCCTCTTCTCAGCTTTGCAACCCAGGGCTGTGTTCCTGAAGGACATGGGAGCCCAGTCTTTGAAATGCCATCATCAGGGCAGCCAGGGCCCTAACTGCCAGCCTTTATGGGACTGTGGGAGCCTACCATTCACTTTGAGTGGTAAATCTACCTCCTCACATAAAGATAAGAGTTTATTTTCCTTTGTAACAAGGTAATTAGCAAATGCAGGTGGTCAGGTAAATTGCGGTTGAATCTCGAATGAAATGGGTGTGACCAAAGGTGCTGTGCAGTCCCCTGACTAAGCATGGCTTTTCTTGAGAAAGTGTGCAGTGTGCAATGGGTTGGGCCCACTGGCTAGTTTAGCAATGAGATTTCTGTCTTTGCAGCGCCTTAGTGGATCATTGCCTGTGATGTGCATCTCACTCTGGGTTAATGCCTCTTCAGTGATGAAACTGTTTTCTTCCTCTCCTACCTCTGCAGAGGCTTGCTGGGACTGATTGTAATTCTATTTCCCCATTGCCAGTGGACAGACTTAGAGGGTCAGGAAGCTGGGAAGGAATTTAGAACCCACGCTTAGGCCTTCCACACCCTTCAGGTACCATCAGCAGCAGAACTAAGGAATTCATTGTCTTTCATTGCTGACACTCCTGGGTGAGTGCAAGTGGCAGTTAGACTCTCCCCATCCCACCTTGTACCTGCTTCCACTACAGGGGACCCCAAGAGGCCTATCCCTGCGTGCTCAGTGCACCCCTGAAAAAGGGAGACTGGGAGATGAGGATCCTGTCGCGGGGGCAGGTGTTGGTCAAGGTGAATGTGAACCTGGAGGAAACAGATGGAGCCCTCCTGTGATAACCCGACAGGGTCAGGGATACGGTGGGAGTGCTCAGGAAGCCATGGCTCCCGGCTGGGGCCACAGACCTGCCTCAGCAGCTGGAGTCTGACTTCTTGGGGTTGCGTTCTGACTCCCCCTCCCACACAGCCTCTTTGCCCTGTAGAGGACAAGGGGCAATGGCAGTAAGGGTAAGGTTGGTGGGGGTTCCTGGGGAGCAGGGGCAGCAGTCCTGCTGTGGCCCTGGCTGCCCCCTTGCCCAGGCTCCATGTACACCCTCAGAGCTCCCCTGGCACAACTTTTCTTCTTTCCATGAGGAACACCCTCACTTCCACTTGGGCCTCTGCCAGGAAGAAGGGTGGGAGCTCTGCTGAAGTGTCCCTGTGAGTGACCACCTGCAGTGAGCTCCTCTGCACAGGAGCTGCCCCTGGGCCTTGTGTGTAAAATGGGGGTAATAACAGTATCTACCTCATAAGGTTGCTGTGAGAATTAAATGAGTTCCTACAAGTGAAAAACACTTAGAACCAGGATCCAGAGGCTTGCAAGGGGTGAGCTGGAGTAGCCATGGTAAGTAAGGAGAGGGAGGTGAACTGATGGGTATAAAATCACCAAGGCAAAAAACTTAAAAACAATAACCAGTTGGGCTTGGTGGCTCATGCCTGTAATCCTAGCACTTTCTGGGGTGCAGCAGAAGCATCACTGGAGTCCAGGAGTTTGAGACCAGTTTGGGCAACATAGTGAGACCTCATCTCTACAAAAAAAAAAATCACTAAGGCAAGAACCTAGTATACTGTAGGCATTCCACAAGTGTTTGGAATTTTTATTCCAATTATATAAAAATAAAATACATTTGAACAGAAACAGAACCGTAGAAGATAATAACAAATAATAGTAACTGATTATCTTTTAAAATAATATGAGGTAGCACTAGAAGTGTTTTTCTTTTTTATACTATTCTGTGATTTAAACTTTTCTATAATGAACATATATTAGTTTTATAATCAGGAAAGGAATATCAATGTTTTCTTTAATGCTGAGAATTTCTGTTAATATTTTTGACATTTCACAAAACATCTTTTGTTGACATTCTACAAATGATACCATCCAATACTGTCCCAATACTTTCTTCTTGTGAAGAGAGTTTATATATCTGTAAAAATGAAAGATACATTATGACTTGCTGACAAAGTCATTCACTACTAATTGTCATTATATAAACTTGTGTAAATGAAATTATTCCTCATTCAATTATTGAGTTCATGGAATAACAAACAACAAATGTGATTAAAATATTCAAAGTGATGGCAATTTATTACTTGTCTTCCTTTTAAACTGCTGCTATGGAGGCAACTTCCAAGAACATAAAAACCAAATTTCTATCCATTTTAACAGCACATATATAAATATTAACTTCATACTAAATTTATTTTACATGTTAAATATAATATGTAAGTCTGATATTTAAAGGAATTCACTTCCTTAATGTGGAGAATGCTTATGTCAGCTTAGTTTGTAATTCAGCTTAGTTTGTAATTATATTTTACATAAGCCCACACCTCCCAGTTCATTGTATTATAATTATTTTTTAAGTAATTTAAAAAATTAACTTTCTCAAAAGTTCAAAAAATAAATAAATAAATAAGGAGCCCTAGTGATCAATAGGCAGACAGCGTCAGCATTACTGCTCATCTATCACACTCCTTATAAAAACATGGACTGGCAAACCTTTTTGACTTCTGTAATATTTGTTATTTCAGGAAGATTTTCCAGAGAAACCTGATGACCTTCTACTTGAGATATTAGGTATTCTTGATTTATTTTTCTCCCTCTTCAATGTAAACAATTAGAATTGAAGTGTCTTTTGCTGAGATACCAAATTTTTTCAAAGCCTCTGAAACCTAAGAGAAAAAAATGAAAAAACAAAAAACAAAGCAATTAACCATTGTTTCCTATGTCTGAAACATGACCTCATCTGCCTTCTTCCTTGCTCAGGCTCTTACTTTTCATGTCCTAACAGTTCTCACTGCCTAGGTTTTCACTTCGATTCCTTTCCAACATCCATTGGTACTTCCTTGAAAGCACTCCCTGCTTAAGGTACACCTTGTTCCTATGGAATCAAGCCCAGCGTTCTTGGCACTGCATGAAACCACCGCCTCCCTCTGGCACCCAGTGGCCCTCCAGCCAGGCGCTTCTGCCTTCTGGCCAGTCTGGCCTTCCTGGGGTTCCAGTCATATTTCATGCCTTTCTGCCTGTGGCCAAGCTTTGTCCTCTGCTCGCATGTCCCATCTCCCCATGACTTCGCTGCTGAACACGTGCCTCAAGCTCCACAGTTCCAATGCCACTCCCCACTATACCCTCCTTCCTCTGAAATGAATGGCTTCATTGCTGTACCCCGAGATTTGAATTCATTTCCCATTGTATCATTTATCTTAGGGCATTTTTAACTTGTCTTGTTTATGTCTGTCTTGTTTACATATTTACTTCTTCTGCCCCTAGAACTATAAATGGAACAGGGAAAAGTTCAATAGATATTTACTGAATTCAAGAGTTTCCTGAATTATGTCCAGTGATCTTAAGGAAACAGTAATTAGTAAATCTTATTCCAGGTACTGGGCAACTCTATTACCGGGCTGAGATAACTGCATTTTATCAACTTTTCAATCATCTGTATTTTAACCTATGCCACAGGTTTCCTAACTTTTCCCTAGATGACATTAATACCTGGCTCTTATTAATAGCTGCAGTAACACTCAAACCTCATCAGCAAAATTTCAGTTTTTTTTTTCATGTGCTACATGTGGGTTATCTTTAGTTCCATAACCTGCATTGAAAAAGCATGACTCTAAGTATTTCAAACCACAAACTCTTCCTATGCACTGGGTGTGTCAGTGAGGATGTGTTAAAGACTGCTGTAGGTACCAGCCAGTTCCTGGTATATGAAAAGGAGGTGGATCCCACACTCAAGTTTATGGGAAGAGGAAAAGATATGCATGCCAGCACACAAAATATCCACGCCTAATGTTTTATCATTAAATTTGTCAGCTTCTTAAGCAAAAATACTTGGGGGGGGGTCTTCCTGACCCTATATGGTAAGAACAGATAATATTCACCTCACTTAACTTAGCTACATTTTTGTTTACTCACATGTAAACTGTCTTAGTAAGAGGCAGGGTTAAACCTCAACTCTCTGTCCAGAGCTCTCTTCACTATTATTCTGGTTTATTATTAACCACTGGCTTGCAGGAATTTAGTCTCCAACCCAACACTGGGGAACACGTATGTTATTATGACAAGGCCAACAGAAATAGGAAAGTCCACATTACATTGTTATTTGGGGAAAGGTTGTAAATAATTCAGTAGATAGAGTTCTTGTCTTCATTTTTCCCAGTTTGTAGAGGTGAACTGCTTTGTTTGCTGCCAAAAGTATCTGAAATGGATCAACAATCTACCAAACAGAGCAAAAAGAATTAATTACACATGGAGAATCTGTACTGCCTGGAAACACAGGCATTTCCCATCTTAGAGCCAGATCACAACCATTTCTGTTTCCTAGGGCAGGACCCAGCACTTCTGCCTCTATTTACTGTTATTGTCAAGGCTGGCTTCATTTGACTTGGACAAAAATTTTTTTCCCCAAAAGGTGACAGAATTTTAGGCTACCCTATAACATGACAAAAATTAATATATACTTAAATGACCTGTATGGCGTGTTTTATTTTTTTTGAGAGAGAGTTTCGTTCTTGTCAACCTTACTGGAGTGCAATGGTGCAATCGAAGCTCACTGCAACCTCTGCCTCCCAGGTTCAAGTGATTCTCCTGCCTCAGCCTCCCAAAGAAGCTGGGATTACAGGCAGCTGCCACCACGCTCAGCTAATTTTTTTATATTTTTAGTTGAGACAGGGTTTCACTATGTTGGCCAGGCTGGTCTTGAACTCCTGACCTCAGGTGATCCACCCACTTTGGCCTCCCAAAGTGCTGGGATTATGGTGTGAGCCACTGCACCTGGCCAATCCATTCAGTCTTAAAATTTATATTTACCACTGTAGGATTTATCAGTGATCCATCGATGGTCCCTTCCATGACTTTTCTTCTCAAGTCTCCTGCATTTTTTACATCTTTAAATAACAGAAGGGTCACCCTGCATTCAGGAAACAGGTCCAGCTGACATGTTAACTGCATTTCACAGATAAGCAGGATTCTACTGCACACAAAATGAAAAAACCAAGAGGTATCTTTTGTTTAAAAGTTAACATTAGAACTCATTTCTTAAGAAATATTCAATAACTTTGACAGTAACATGATTTAAAGTGTTAAACTAGAAAAGTCCATTGCAAAAGCCCACTGGGCATCCTCATGAGGTCTTGTCTTCCTAATCCTGCTGAGCTGTTTCTAGTTCTGCTGCCATTCCTGAAAAGGCAAGGGGCCCAGCTGGTTGCTGTTTGTTCAGATGAGGTAGGCTCAGATGCATAGTTGACAGGCTGCTTCCCCAGTAGACAAGTTGGAGCAGAATGTCAGGAATTTTTTAAACCGAAGGTTACTTATGGTATTAATGAAGCCTTACTCTATCTTAGTCTTTTTTTTCTTCTGATCTCATCATTTGATTTATATTTTAGAAAGGCCTACACATAAATATTAAGGAACAAAATAATTTTAAAGAATAAAGTATCATACTTGACCCAAAGATTTTCATTCCACACATGGAAATTAAGCAGAGAGGGTATGATTATTAAATAATCAATCCTGCTCCTTTCTTGGACATAAGCTTAACAAGGAAAGGTTATTATCTATAAAGACATAAAAGAAACATAAAAGACAATGTGAATAACTAGAAAGACATGACCGTATCTTTGAATGGAAAAACTATGTATCGCAAAAATTTCTTTACAACAATTCAATCATTTTCTTAATAAGATATTTTGGGGTGGCAATTTGATAGAGTCTTTTTATCCTTTTACCTGGCAGATTATATTTCTAGAACTCTTTCTGATGGAATTCATTAGGAATCTAAGAATTATAAGATGTTCCTCTCATTATTTTAACAGTAAACAGCTGAAAACAACTTATCTAGCTAATGATGGGATTAGTTGTGATTTAACAACCATTAAAACGTGGTCTTAATGGTGTGTAAAAATGGCAATAAATCATGTCAAGTAAAAACATCTGAATGAAAAACAACACAAATTGTGACCAAATCGTGGACTTTTTAGAAAGCTTTTAAACAAATATTAAAAAGAAAACACACCAAAAAGTTAATGTTATCTCTCACTTAGAATTACATTTGACTTTATTTTTGTTACAAACAGGAAAAAAAATATTTGTGAACAATATCCTGGTACACGGTTCAATCTTTAGTCATGCTAAAGGGAAAAAAATGGATACAGAAAGATATAATCATCAGGATAGCAATTGTATAAAAAGATGCACACATTTTTTTAAAAAATGCATGAAGGAAACACACTAAAATATGACCATCTTGGGTAGTGAGAATATGAGGTAATTTTTATTGTTCTTTATACAAAGTATTTTATTATGTATGCTCTGAATTTTTTTACAGTGAGCATACAAAACATGAGTACACATAATCAGAAAGGGAAAAAATTGTGGTTTTAACACCGGGGGGAAGAACTCTTAGAAAACCTCAAAATAGTTTGATCTTGTTTAGTGTAATTCACTCACTCAGGCCAGAAACTTGGAATCATTGTTGGGTACCCAACCTGTCACTCAAATCCTATAAATTCATAAATTTATAGGATTTATCAAATCCGTAAAGTCCTGAATTTTCACCTCCTGAATATACTTTTGATTCGTCCACTTCTCTCCTATATGTAGGCTAGGTCACCACCGCTCATCTGCAGTGGTAGCCTCCTGTTTCCTCCTCATTGTTTCTCACAATTCCTGCCTTCCTATAATCCAGTCTTTCCCCGCAGTTATAGTGATCTTTTCAAAATGGACATCAGATCTAGTCGTTCTGCTGTTCTTATGATAAAGCGCCTACTTTGTGTCACGGTGATCCATACCATAATATCTGGTCCCTGCCTCCCTCTTCTGCTACCGCCGCAATGGCCTTCTCTAAGCTCAAGTCACCAAGCTTTCTCCCCGATTCTGCCCTATCGGACAGGTAGTTCCCTCTCTCCTTTCAGCTCCGCTTGACCACTCCTCCCTCCCTTCAACTCCATTTGGAGTCCATTTGCTACAGAGCCCAGAATCCCAGGACTAGGGCTCTTTTTAGTCTGAGGATTAGCTCCCTTTTGGCCCCAATCACAACTTTAAAGAATCGTGCGCCTATCCACTGCATCCTCACTGAACGATTTTTCTTGAGGGGACAGACTGACTTTATCATTCTTGTACTGCATTCTGGAGGCTGGCCTCGTTGGCGCTTGATAAACACCAGCTGAAGAACCCACAGCCATTCTCCCAATGAAACTATTAAAGCTGACCGGACCCTCCCCCTCCCGAGCTGGCCCGTTAGGGCACGAGGAAAACGCACCATCTGGTCCCCAGTGCATCTGGGAAGATCTCCCGCTGTGAAACAAAACTCACAACTTCCGGAAGCGATGGCCAATCCCCGTCTCCCCGTGTTCCTCGAGCCGGTTTCCGGATAGGCCAGCTCGGGGTTGCCATATTTTTTCAGTCCCGGTAGGAGGGGTGTTTCCGCTCCTCGTCCCGCCCATGCTTCGCATCTCCAGCCTGAGTCCGGTCTACGAACGTGAAAGAGAACAGGAGCTGTCTGTCGCTTTCGACGAAGAAAACTGAAGACTCTATATGCTGGGACCGGAAACTGAGGTCAGGTTTCGAGTCTCCGCTATGTCTTAGTCTGTGTTGGGCGATGCACCGGGCGTTCTCGGTTTCTTCCTGTACAGGAAAAGTACTGACCAAGATGGGTTCTACATGCGTTTTGCTACCCCAGATTTCTTAGTTCTTTTTCAGGGCCTTATCTCCTATGACACTTTGGACTTTTGAGTTTAATGCTGGAACAAGTTGAAACTTTGGGAGATGATTGGGAGGACATGATTATGTTTTGCAATGTGAGAAGGACATGAGATTTGGGGGTGCAGGAGTGGATTGATACAGTGTGAATATATGACCCTGCCGAATCTCATGTTGAATTGTGGTCCCCATTGTTGGAGGTGGGACCTGCTGCGAGGTATTTGAATCATGTAGGTGGATTTCTCATGGCTTGGTGTCCTTGCAATAGTGTGAGTTCTAGGGCGATTTGGTTCTTTAGAAGTGTGTGGCACCCCCCAACACACTGTCTCTTGCGCCAGTTCTCACCATACGATGTGCCTGCTCTCCCTTCTGCCAATAGAAAAAGCTCCCTGAGGCCTCCCCAGAAGCCAAACAGATGCTGATACTATGTTTCCTATACAGCCTGCAGAACCATGAGCCAATTTAACCTCTTTTCTATATAAATTACCCAGTCTAAAGTATTTCCTAATAGGAATGTAAGAACAGCCTAATTGGGGGAGTGAGAGAGGAGATGGGGAGGCATGACACACTGGTTTAAAACATGAAGGACATTCAGCCAGGCGCAGTGGCTCTTGCTTGAATCCCAGCACGTTGGGAGGCCAAGGTGGGCAGCTTATCTGATGTCAGGAGTTCAAGACCAGCCTGACCAACATGAAGAAACCCCCCGTCTCTACTAAAAATACAGAATTAGCTGGGCGTGGTGGCACCTGCCTGTAATCCCAGTTACTCAGGAGGCTGAGACAGGAGAATCGCTTGAACCTGAGAGGCAGAGGTTTCAGTGAGCTGAGATTGCACCATTGCACCCTAGCCTGGGCAAAAAGAGCGAAACTGTGTCTCAAAACAAAAACATGAAGGACATTCTATTTCTAGGAGAGACGAGAGGCTGTTCTGGTCAGTCTCTCTTTATCACAGGATGCTATATTCCCAGCACATTCCACAGTTATCCTAGAGAACCATAAATGAGAAAGGAGAAAGAACTAAGTTGATCCAAGGCCACCTGGAGAACTGTCCTGCAGTCTGTGCCCCTAATTCAGATTATCTCCCCTAGCAAAGCTAGTCCATTTCATATGCCCACCAACCTCTTAGTATCTGGAGGCAGAGATTTGTCTTATCAGATCGGCGTAACACCTTGACAGACATAATATCAGTGCAACATTGTTAAGCCATAGCCAGAATGCATTTTACTAGGCCCAGGAGGACTGCTTAACAAACAGCTGATCAGGTCCACCTGGAGCAGCAAGCTAGTCACTGATATAGTGATCCAGGTAACAAGTTTCTAACAAGGTCCAAAAAGGGCCCCTAAGAGGGGCCCAGTATCTGCAGCAAGTGGGCCTCCTCCCAGATCTCCCCTAATTTTCTATAATACATAAGTTGTTCTCTAGGTACAGTAGCAGCTGTTGGCAATCGAACAAACTTGTCTCAGTTTAGTAAATGGAAGTCTAGAGTAACTACTTTAATACAATCTTCCTGGCCAGGTGTGGTGGTTTATGCTTGTTATCCCAGTGCTTTGGGAAGCTGAAATAGAGTGATTGCTTGATGCCAGGAGTTCAAGACCAGCCTGGGCAAAATAGTGAGACCCCCCCCTCATCTCCTAAATATTTTTAAAAATAGCCTAGTGTGGTGGTGTGCACCTATAGTCAGAGCTACTTAGGACGCTAAGGTGGAAGATCACTTGAGCCCAGGAGTTTGAGCTATGATCATGCTACTGTCCTCTGGTATGGGTAACAGCATAAAATCCTGTCTCAAAACAAAACAAAATAAAAAAAACTCAGAGGAGTTGAGGGATGTCTGCTGAGCTGCCAAGGAAGTGGCAATAGAGGAAGCGGTATCTGCCATGCTCAGGGATAGATTTCTTATCAGTTTTTCCCAAACACTGACTCCTATGTGTGGTACCAAAAATCTCAAAAAGAACATAAACCAAGGGTCACTTACACCTCCTGGCAGGTGTCTAGTAAGCCTGGGGTATGACTTTAGGCTGCTGGCCCACTGGTGTGACTCATTTCCAAGGGTAATATCTAGGGACACCCAAGCATGCCCAGCGTGCAATATCCCACCATTCATCAGCTTTTCAAGTATAACACTGACCACACCATATTTGGGTGACCCTGTACTGCTCACAGAGAAAAATGTAGCCCTCAGGTGCACGTAGCACCCCTTCTCCCATTTTATTGTTCAGTAACCCATTCATTGGTATGAAGGCATTAGCCTTTGCCTGCAGTCTCAAATTAGTCATATGAACTTGGTTTCCCCCATTCAATATTGTTCATGAAGTCCCTACATGGAAAGCTAACAGTAGTCCAATTCTTGTTTCCATTGTCAACACTGGGATGCTTCTCATCCAAGTAAAGGAATATAATGGGTTAAAACTACCAGCCAACCGAGGTTGTTAGTTGTCACGTTTTGCCACTTTTGGCCAATTAAGTCTCCCTCCCTCCCATGTAGCAGGGGCTAGATCCTCACTAAGTAAGCCGGGGCTCAGGTTCTGTTAATATTCACTGCGCCACTATAATACTGGTAGAGTTTACTACTGGCAGGACAGGAAGGTTGCTGTAGTCTGTGACAGAATGGGGTCTGCGATGACAGTTCTAGCACTTTCCTTTGGTGGCCACAGCTTGGGAGAGCCTAACGAAGGCATTATGCTTCCAGGCCTCTATTCTCCCGTCCTTATGGAAAAAGCAGAGTGACAGGTTAGTGCCCTGCCCCTTAGACTTCCTGCATCCTCAGGTATTCCCTACCTATCAGTTAGAGGTTGGACTGAGTGTAGTGTCCCAGTCTGACTGCTGAAGTCCCGAGACTACCTATTCCCCTTGTTGCATGAACCAGGCCTTTTGGCTTTAGTCATCCATCAGGGAAATGAGATTTGTCCTGGACAATCCTGACATGTTGATAAAGTTACCCACCTGTATAGAAGAATCGGGTGTTCCTGGTGCCACTAATCCTAATATCCTGGTACTCCTTGGTCCTGTGCTGTATCCCTGTGGATTTCACAGAAGAGAGGCACCTGGAGGAAGTATCACGTCTAGATTAGAGTCAGGGGGCCCTGTCTGGGGTGTTCTGGCAGCCTGAACTACAAACCACCTACAGGATGTGCACTCTAAATGGAAAAAGAAAAAAGAATGATTGGGAACACTGAGATTGGAATTTCACAGATGCAGCCAAATCAGGCAGTTACCTGGTCCACCTCCGTCCACACCAAGCTCAGTGTTTTTCAAGATGTGTGCAGTGCTGTGTTTCCTTTGGAGTATAGTGCTTAGTATCCACGCTGCCCTAATCAGATAGAGGTACCACCCCACTAGCAGGCTGTCCTGATGTCCTTTATTCAGTTGCTTTGTGAATTGGCTGTTCCATCATTCAGTTGCTCCTGTGGATGACAGAGTGCATGGAAAACCCATTGTATTGCATGATACTGTGCCCACTGTCATGTTGCTTGGGCAGTGAGGATTTTCCTTGGTCAGAGTGAAATCCCATGGGATATCCAAAAACATGACAGAAGTCCTCTCAAGGGCAGCTGTGGTAGTAAGAGCATCCACATGAGTGGCATATGGAGTCCCTTCCAACAGCAAGCTGTTGCCATAGTCCCTGTCCTCACACATGGGACCTTTTAATGGTCCAGTCACTGTTGCCATTCCCCTGACCAAATGGCTAGGCTGTTGGCAATGGCTCATGAGTCAGTAAAAATGTGGGATGATGTGGTAGGTGGGAGGGGCTGTTAAGGCTCAAATCCTTAGTTGTTAGGGGTCATAGCCCCTCTGGTGACAGTGATGTTCTGTGCCACAAGCAACTAAAATGTCAATGCCCATAAAGCACTCAGTGCTGGGAACCATGGTGACTGACACCTGAAATGGCCCAAAGGGCCCCACCCACAAGCAGATAAGCACTATGGGTCACCGAGTTCATCTGCAAGCTTCCTGGTGTCACTGGCTTAATTTTTCCCCTAAAGGAACCTTCAGTATCTAAGAACTCCAAAGAAGGCAGGATTTCCATCTTTCCCCATTATATCTTTTTTTTTTTTTTTTTTCTTGAGACAGGGTCTCTCTCCATTGCCCAGGTTGGAGTGCAGCCTCAACCTACTAGGTTCGGTAAATTCTCCAGCCTCAGCCTCTCACACAGCTGGGACTGCAGAAGCCTACCACCACAGCTGGCTAAGTTTTAAATTTATTGTAGAGGCTAGGTCTCACTTTGTTGCTTTGGCTGGTCTCTAACTCCTGGGCTCAAGGTATCCTCCTGCCTTGGTCCCACAAAGTACTAGGGTTATAGGTATTAGCCATTGCACCTGGCCCCATTTTATCTTGACAGGAGTGTAGAGCCATTGGCCTCTGGTGGGGATCAGAGACCTTGGCCCCATTCCTAACTGTGCCATTCAGCCCAGGACATTTGGGTTTGCAGTGTCCCTTTATCAGATATATTCATCAGCCAGGCTGCATGCAACTTCCTTGGCCTTTCTCCATGTCTAAGACTATGGTCCTTTAAACCTGAGTCTCCCTTTCTGTGACAGGCTGCATTCTGCATGTGGGTTCCTCTCAGACGCTACAGGGACCATCTGATACCTCATACCTCTTCTTTCTCTTAAGCACCTTGGGGCATGTTTGAGTCCTCAATCCCCAGCCCTGGAAATGAGCAATCACATAAGTGCCCAACAACCAAGGGACCCTGTGTGGCATTCCGGCTCCACCTTACTTTCTCTCTGCTTCCACCCATTCAGTCAGCTCAGTCACAGCCACAGGGTGTGTTTGCATGTGACCTAATGTCCCACATATCACCCCTCCTTTCCCATAAAATGTCCAGCTGCAAGTGCTGCCTCTGCCCCCTGCAGGTTGACATCACCCCCTCCTTTCACCAGGAAAACATGGTTCTGTCAGACTGAACCCTGTTCACTGTGCCAATTTTGTGAAGCAGGCTCATCGTGCACTGGTTACCAACTTGCCTGAGTCCTGTGAGAAGGAATGCCCACACACAAGTTACATGAAGAGGGTTTATGACTTACAGATTGGCACTGAGGCACAACAGAAGCCTGGAATTTCTTGTGAGCTGATCTCCTGAGGCTCAAGAA